TCCAAAAGACCAAAGGATTTCAGTCCTGCAGCAGAAAGACATTTGGCAAGAAGAAAGTCAGAAAAGAGACCAATGGTGATCACATTTTAAATCTGTTTTCACAAGACATTGGTAGGACTGTAATCAAACCTGTAACCTATACACTTACTGTCTAAAGAGCAGTTGGTGTGAGCCTAGGTCACAAACTACAACAGCTACAAAAAAAAAAAAAAAAAAAAAAAGGANNAAAAAAAAAAAAAAAAATCTTCATTTTAAATGGAACATTTAAAAAAGAAAATAGAAAGTGAAACGCTGCTTATCTAGTTGAGCAGTCTCTTTTTCCTCCCAGCCACAGAGCTTATTACCCTACTACTATTAATATACAGTGCTGGAGACATCAGGTACAGCTACAGCACTGTGCTGCACAGATCCCCAAGGTGGTCTGAAATTAGCTAGCTCTGTGGCAGAAGTGCAACAGCCACATTTCTGCAGCATGCAATGACTGGCTAATTGAGCTCCTGTGGTTGCACCGTTCCCAGGACTTAAGCTCATGTTTTGAACCACACTGCACTCTAGTATGCTGTTGTACAAGCTAAATTGTTTTCCCAGATACCACCAGACTGCCTAAAACTTATGCATGCAAGCCCGATATATTCAAAACATATTCCATTTTTCCTTTAGTCACATCACAGAGCATCAGCTTATGTACCTTAATTATTTTCCTAATGCCTGCACACAGCACACTTCAGGTTATGCAAGCTGAAGAGCACATTACTGCACTTCTGCCTTGGGGATATTCAATCAACCTTGAGCATTCCACCACAAGGTTCACAGAGAGGTTAATGCCTACGTTAGTGTTAGAGGAAACCCTTCATATAAGTTCAAAGAGCTCGCCTCCCTACTGCTGCACAAAGTACTTTGGGCACAGTAGGCAAAGTAATCAAACAATTTTCAGGTGTAGCAAGCGAACGTGCTTTAAACTTAGACTTCGGTTTTACCTTAAAACCAAAGATTAGCTCCAGCTGACTCTCCTACTGTATATACCCATGAACAGCATTGAACAGAGTAGCGATACAGCACTGAGCAGCTAGCCCCACACCAGCCCTGACACACTCATGCTGGCCTCTGCTGAGCCGCTGCAGCATATAAGTAGCATTACTCATGGGATGTGAGCATCTGGCAAAATGTGACAGATAGAATCATAGAATGGTTTGGGTTGGAAGGGACCTTTACGATCACCTAGTTCCAACCCTCTGCTATAGGCAGGGAGACCTCCCTCTAGACCAGGTTCCTCAAAGCCCCATCCAGCCTGGCTTTGAATGCCTCCACGGAGGGGGCATCCACAAACTCTCTGGGCAACCTGTCCCAGTGTCTCACCACCCTCACAGTGAAGAATTTCTTGCTAACATCAAGTCTAAATCTACCTTCTTCCAGTTTAAAGCCATAAAGATGGAGCCAGCCCAGGTCTAGCCCACAGCCCAGCCCGGAAGGCCCTCCTGAAGGCCATGTGTCATTACATGCTTCTGAAATGCAGTTCAAGGGTTCTGTACAAGTGAGCTCAGCTCCAGCTAGGATGCTGTCCTGCTGAGTTGTCCCTATATGCCTGCACAGGGCCTTCTATGACCCAGAGTAATGTGTTTTTTTGTCTCCCAGGGCTACACCAGTCCTTCCAATATTCCAGATAATAGAAAGTTTCTGTTACTGTGTGCGAACAGTCTTTGTCCTTTTAAACGATGTTCTCCTTTTTTCCCTGATTTCCATCCCTTGCAGCTGTAACACATACAAGCTGTGTTTATTTTTACATCTCCCCCAGCAAAATCACGTGTCATGCACTGAGTAGGTGTGCTATCGGTTCCCAGCACAGTCATACCTGATACTGCCTGGTAGGCACTCAGCATATCACTCCTAGCAAAGGACCTACTTGTTTGAACTGGCTTGCAGGCATCTGGGATCGGATCACTTGTTTGCTACTATGGCTTGCTTTTATCCATGTCTCTTTCATTTTTCAAGAACATCTCTATCTATATACATAATTTTAAAAAGCACTGAGCTATGATACCATGTACTAGAGAAATACTCCATATAAGAACTAATTTAAATCACACTGCTCAAAGCCACCAGACAGCTCCATAGAAAACATGGATAAGGTCGAGGACTTCATTACACAGGTCCAACTATTCAAGCATTATTTATGAGAAAAACAAAGTTCACCAAAAGTGGTCAAGTTCAAGTGTAATATCTGAGGCTGAATCTGTGATGAAGTACTTACAAGTTTTGAATGCTCTTCCAATACAGATAATACTCTTCATGTCACTGAACTACAGAGCCAGGCCACAAAAGGAACTTCTCTGCATGGCCACCTACCGTACTGCAGCATCTGCTGGCACCCATAGCACAGGGATCACCCATAAAGTTATCTCAGGGCAAGTAACACAGAAACAGTTTGCACTTACTAGTAAGTTTGAAAAATATTGTTTGCACAGCACAGCAACAGTACATTAACACAAATAAAAGTCTGCCATCAACCGAGTGATGACAGAGTAACAAAAAGAGCCAATGGCTCTGTCCATGCCTAGGTATAGATGATATTTTTTAGGACCATTTTAACAGTTGACTCTAAATAATGCAACAACTGCCTTACCCTGAATAATAACAGTCTGGACTGTCAGCTATGGGATATAAGTAGGCTTCAGAAAAGCTTGGCTGAGCTAACCTTGCTTGTAAAGTCAATAGTAGTATTCCCAATCACCTTACAATACAAAAGCAAAACGTGTTCAGATTAAGTGAGCCTGACAGTATTGGTCTAGAAACACAGCTACTCGTAGTCTGCACATACAGATATGGAACTGAAATCAAAGTAGGCTAGTTTCTTATTTAGTTACTAGCACTTGAGATTTTGTCCATGCATGCAGTCAAGGACCTCTTTCCCCAAAATATTAAAACAGGATAAAAGGAAGCTACCATGTCTTCCTCATATGTCTCCTACAATGGGTGTACTACTCAGTCACATCAGTCTACCAAAGTACTGTTACTTCTGCCACATTTCCATATTATGTTTGGAATGTTAAACAATAACTTAATACTAGCAAGCACATAGGCTTTTTATTGGATTTACAAGCTGTCTTCTCTGAAACACCCACAGTGTTTCAGTTGCCATGTCTGGGATAAAACAAACGACAGAATCAGCCATAACATTAATTTAAGGCTCAATAATTTTTACACCATGAGGAATTGTAGATTCACCCTAAACTTAACATTCTAGTTAAGTCCATTCCACACAATGAGAGTGAAAACTAAGGCCAATTTACAACTCTTACTTAACAAGCAATTTGAAAGTATACTAATCATGTCAGAATCTCCCCATAGTTTAAAAGAGTTTAGTTTTCATCAAAACCTGAACCCCAAAGCACCAGAAAATAGGATGCAAGAAGGCGGAAAGAGTAATGGAGTACCAGCTGAAAGGAGACAGGCTTTGTAGGAATCTGATCCTGAATTTATTCTATGCACTGCACCGAATACAATGTAACAATTATCAAATTCCTTCTCTCCTGGCAACACAAACTATTAAACTCATCTTTGCATCTTTGTTACGTTTCCAGAGTCTGCAGTAGTTCACAGTTACTTACTTCGCCTTATTCCAAAATCAGCAAAGTGAATAATAAACTAAGAATTCAAAGAACAAGGATTATAACATCTTAGTCCAAGGTGCTACCAACCTTCCTTAGATCATTATTACCAGATGGATTAAAGTTTAAAGCTGGCTGCAAATGCAACCACTAGGAGACAACAGCTATTCTCCTGTCTCTTTCAGATCTCTTTCAGACGAGGATTAAACACGATGTACAAGAACCAAAGAACTTCAGATGATTTAAAGAACTATTTAAGCTCTGATAAAAAGTTTCAGAATCAAAAAGAAGTTTTTAAAAAAGGTGACTGAGCCAAACCATTACACACCTGCTCCTGGAAAACTGACTCCGGCACCACTGGTAGGACACTTTGCCTAAGGAGCCCATTCAGACTCACATTGCCAACACCTGGAGCTCTGGGGTCACTTGTTGTCCATTTTGGCATGGCTAATGATGGGAACTCTGCTGGAAGGTGTAACAACAAGGCAATGGGACAGAATGCAGGAGCCACTGGCATTTCTGACACGTCAGAAGATGCTAAAAGCCTTACTCTGAGACAGATAAAAGCAACCACTAGGTCAATTTTTACATGACCAAAGATAGGCATTCAAGGCCAGGCTGGATGTGGCTCTGGGCAGCCTGGTCTGGTGGTTGGCGACCCTGCACACAGCAGAGGGGGTTGAAACTAGATGATCATTGCTGTCTTTTTCAACCCAGGCCATTTCATGATTCTATGGTAGGTGACTGAAGAAAAAAACAACCACAAAAAAGATTTCCCAAACCGTACCATTACGTGGCTTGATCCAAACACTACAGGTGTTATCAAGGCACTCAGAGGTGGCACACTGGGCTATGGGAGCCCTCAGCCTGAGCCGCCACATCACTCGTACTGCAGCCTGACTGGCGTCTGGTTGTCTTATCTGGGCTGAGTTGGTTAGGAGCGCACTTTGTACCAGTTTATTGGAGAAAACAACGAGGAGGTTGAACTACGCACGCTGTGCCAGCAGAACGGCATCTCCGCGGGGCCAGCACGGATCATTCCGCTGACCACACTTCACCTCCACAGCTTTACACATCGTCTCGCGCCTCTAAAGGGCTGTTCTACGGCACGGAAACAATCGCCCACCGGGAGCCGTCACTGCAGCACGGCGTTACCAGACCCCTCCCCCCCCCAGCCGTCGGTGCCCCCCGTGACACAGTCAGAACCCATCGCAGCAGGCGGCTCTCGGCCCGCGCCTCGCACGGGCCGGCCGGAGCTCCCCCCGCGCTGCGCTGCGCCGCGCCGTCAGCCCCCCCGCCGCGGAGGTCCCGCCGGCTGCGCGGCCCCGTCCCGCCCCGTCCCCCGGAGGAGCGGCCGTCCGCCCGCCGCGGTGAGACGCCGGAGCCGGTACTCACAGAGCCCGTTGGAGCCGGTGCTGGTGAACATGGCGGCGGCCCAGCCGCGGCGGGCGCCGCTAGCGGAACCCCCGGAGGCCGGGCAAACCCCGCGGAGCCGCGGCGGGCCCGGGGACGCGCGGGTAAGGCGGCCGCGACGGGCCAAACGTCGCCGCCAGCGAGCGGGCAGCGCCCCCTACCGGGCCCGCCGGGAGGGGGAGGCGGCGGCGGGTGCGGGGAGCCGGGCGGGGGCGCGCTGGAGCGGGGCCCGTGGTCAGGATCGGGGAGGAAGGGGGTCCGTAAGGCGCAGGGGAAGCCGAGACCGCAGGAGTGGCGGTGTTCGAGCGACTGGGTCGTTCGCACGGTCGGGAGGGGTGTTGGCTTTGCTGTGACTCTCATGGCCACAGGGAATCTGGGGTCACGGTGGATGAGCTGTTTGCCGTACAGCCATCACACAGCACCAAGTGGTTCAGGCTGGAAGGGACCTCAAAGCCCACCAGCCCAACCTGTGCCATGGGCACGGCTGCCATCTGCCAGCGCCCATCCAACCTGGCCTTGAGTGCCTCCAGGGATGGGGCACCACAGCCTCTCTGGGCAGCTGTGCCAGCCTCTCACTGCCCTCTGACCAAAGAATTACTTCTTCCTAACATCACCTCTCTCGTAGTTTGAAGCCGTGCTCCACTGTCCTATCACTCCACTGCCTCCAGCTTTCCTGTAGGCCCCTTCAAGTACTGGAAGGCCTCAATGAGTCTCCCCAGAGCCTTTCTTCTCCAGCCTGAACTCCTGTGTCCTCAGACAGCCCTCAGCCTGTGTCCATAGAAGAGGTTCTCCAGTCTTCTAATCATCCTCATGGCCCTCCTATGGACTCGCTTCAACAGCTCCGTGTCCTTCTGGTGCTGGAAGACCCAGAGCTTCACCCTTCTATGTCAATGCATCTTCCATTCAGTGATATTTAGGGATATGCAGTAACCAAAACAGGCAAAGTACACTGTTAATTAACCTGCAGCCCAGACAGTGGGCAGGTTCAGAAGGCAGGTGTAGGCCAAACCACAAGCAGCATTCTGTTCTGTGAACAGCAGCAGGCGACATATTGAGGCCGCAGCAGAAGACCACCTTGTTTGCACAGGGTTTGAGAGGTCAGCACTCAGACGTTCCAGGCATGGGGGAGGCCAAACACTGCTAGACTGATATAACGTATGTGAGTCCAGGTATTTCTATCTAATTACTTGCCTCTTTCTAAAGATGAATTAAATTTGAAAACTGAAGACCCTTCAATCCATAAGTTTTGAAAAATTATGACACCTGGCTCATCCCAGGAGCCCAGGCTGTTGTGTGCCTGCACAACAGCCATGTGTACGTGCTCATTACAGCTAACAGAGGCACAGTCCATACATTCAGTGGAGACTGGAGAGCATTTCGAATGATCAGAGGAATGTGTCTATTTTGGGACGAAATGAACTACCCCCTAAAGGCCAGCAACTATTGATCAGAGAGCCTCTAGCTGTAACAGTATAGAGTTAACATTTAAGGTAGGATGAGGCAAAATCCACCCTCGATTTCATTCAAAGCGTGAATCCACCCTCAGTTTCATTCAAACATGGTATAATAAAAGAAAATTGAGGCACCAAATTTCAGTGAAATGTTCAAGTTTACACAGAAACCCAAGCTTATTGAAATAAGTTATACAAGGCATTTGGAAAAGGATAGTGCTCTGCTCTGTGTCACAGATGTGAGTGTCAAGAAGAGGATGAAGTCTGTGAACTTGGAACTGAGAGCCCCAAAGTCCTATTTTTTAGCACACCGAACTGTGAGCCTCAACTTTGATGATTTCCCTTGATTTATGTTCCCATATCACATCATATTAGAGAGAATCTTTTCTGTTCAGCACTGGTATTGGATGGAAATCAGAATCATTAAACATCCAAGAGTCTTAAACACATTCTGCTGAATAAGGCTGAATTTGGGCAAACACTTAAATTCTCTTTTGAAAGCAGCTCTGTGGATTTGCTAGCACAAACAGATACTGAATGAGTAGCAAGCAGTAGTGCAACATCATACCATAATACATACTTGCAGATTTATCAATACTGCTGAGATATTGGGAGCTGGCTCTGGATTTCTGTGCTATTTTTTGTAAGAAATATACTACTGAGTCTCTAAAGCATCTAAAGATCTAGCATCTAATGTCTCTGTTTCAAAAAAAAGATTGAGTTATTTTTTCTGAGATTAGATCTGTGAGATGCATAATGTGTCTTACTGTGTACCCAGTGCTAATAATTATATTTTTATGTACCAATTGAATGGTACAGGAAATGTCGCTTTTGCCTTCAGACTCAGTGGCAACCAGAGACTTCATTAAAGAAGAGAGCTTTCCTGCTGACATTGGCAGCTCCAGTTGATAGCTTGTCATAAGAATTATGTGAATGATTTGCATTATTGAAATATGAAGTGTTGTCCTCTTTGGAGTTAAATGAAATTGTCAGTCCTCGTGCTTGCCTTGGAACATATCCCAGAATAGGAAAGCTAGCACTTATCTGCTAATCTACTCAGAACAAGCTTAGAAGGCTTTGACACTGCTCAAATGTCAGCTTAAATATCTGCATTTGTTTTTTACATCTAGTTAGCGAGGTCAATTTGCTATGTTCAAAATAAACTTATTTAGATATTCTGCTCAAAATATATATATATATATCCCAGGAGACTGAAAATTATATTTCTCTTATCTAATATGATTAGATTTCTTTCTTCTTTAAATTGGCAGTGTTTTTAAACCAACTCTTAATTACTAATTAATCTCCAAGAGTCAGGTGCTCCCCTGCCACGAAGAATGAAGGATAGCAGCAGAGTAGAGCAGGATGGAAATGCAACACCTCACACAGGAATCTGCTGTCTTAACTCAGTGCTATCAGAATTCTGCAGGTTCATGGGCGATGGTCCCTCATGGTCTGAGGTTTCTGTGGCTTTCATAGTATGGCACATGCAGCTATTACAGCTACTGGAAACAGTAGCAGATGCCTGGAAAAAGGTTAATGTTATACTTAATTATTTCAATAACTTCTTCAATAACTAACAGTTCCCAACCCTTGTTTTCAGCTGCAGAAGAATGTAGAGAAAGCTGTGTACAATACATACTCTGCAGAGGAGATGTGAGAGGAGGATGGGAAGAAGGTAGAGAGATACGGTGGGATGAAATCAGCCTAATTGATCCTGTGCCTTTCCAAGAGTGAAGAGTGAAGTGAATAATGTTTTGTAGCACAGCAGACCCACCTGTCCTCTTAAACTGTAGTGGGTTCATTCTATCACACTGACTTCTTTTTTACTATAAATTGAAGAAATGGAACATTTTCTAGATGAGTTCTTTCCATGTAGAGCTTAGAATTAGTGTGAGGAGAAATGGAGTGGCTAAAGGAGAAACTTTTAGGTAGTTCTTGAGGAGCATGCAAAGTAATGGAAAATAGGGAAAAAAAGGCAAGAACATTGTGGGTTTTTTTTCCTCTGATAGTGGCAGTTGGCTACACATCACACTACTATGAAAAATTTAAAGAGTGCTCAAATGTTTTCTATCTGTTAAGGATTTAGCCGCTTGAATGAGATGTTCTGCAAAATTTCAAATACAGTGATGAATTTGAGCTCCATATCAATGTATAATAATAGTAATATGTGGATAACTATTCTTTCGATACCTCAAACATAATTCAAACATCACCTTCCTGTTTTCCAGCTAGAACCCCAGCAAGGGACGAGTCATAGTACAGAGTGTTTAAGGGACTGGCTTACTTGGAGCAGAGCCAAGTCACCAGCTGGTGGTCACCAGCAGCCACAACCTCCCACTTCTTGCATTGCTCACTTCCATCCCCAGCCACTTTCCAACAATTATCCCTATTTTGTCCCAGCAAATCAACAGAAATGTGTTGCATCTGCTTCCTCTTAGGTTTATGCTGTGCCCTCCAAATGTGGACGAGAGAAGAACAGCAAGGCACAAAATAAATTAAATAGAAGTTGAGAACAAGTGCCTACCTGGACTCGTGGAGGGAACCTTGATTTTTTCCTCACATTTTATCTTGTGTATTGAATGTACCCACCGACAGTTTCATGCTGACTCATAATCATCACTTCTGTTTTAACAGTTGACCATCAACTCTTAAGCACCACGTGCAGCCAGGTATTGACATCTCTGTGTTTAGGGGCAGCATCAAGCATTTGATCAGCAGCTTTGTGTTTGAACGCCAGTAAAACACTCTCTCAGATTTGCCATCCTTACATTCTCTGTCACCGGAGCCAGGTTATTTATTTCAAAGAAGGATGGGATCCTGTGAAAAACAAGAGCATATGGTAGGTAGCATAACCCGGAACTAGATCCTAATGCAAACATATTAAAAGAGAATCAGGCAAATTGATTCTGATATTTCTTAATTGATGACATTGATCTCAGCTTTTATGTTTAATGTTCTATGTTAGTGTTTTATTTTAGTTAGGCAAGACTTCATTCTTGTATTACAAATACACACTTCCAACTGTCTTTGGCTGAGCAGCTCACTGGATTTTAGCTCACTCAACTGAAGGACATTAATTTGCTGCAAGGAAAATTGGAAAAGATCAGTAGGCATCAGTGAAATGATCAGATTTAAGCATAGTGCATAGAAGACTCGATTAAGAAATCCATTAGAAGGGCAAAATATTATGTATAGCACTGTATAGCATACATAATATGAAGTTTAGCAACATACTTTGCATATCTATATCCCATAACGTACACTAGAGTTCATGCATAAGCCATCTTTTTCAGATTGAATTTATGCCAAATAGTACCTTTGTGATCTGGCATACGATGCTTAATTACACAAAACAACTAACAGGGATTGCAAAAGATTTAAGCTTTTAAAATGCAGAAGGCAAATCACATTCCTGCATGCCAGTGTGGTTGTGTTGAATTTGACTGTTAATTAAAGTTGGATTTAAAAAAAAAAAAAAGCACTTAGAGGAGTATTTTTTTAAGGATTTTTTTCCTTCTCTAATACTTAATTCATATTTCCCAGATATCCTCCTCCTCTCACTCCACATCATAGTGCTATCTGTGCTTCACCACATGGTGTAAAGGTTATTAATCTCCCATGTTTACACTCAGGGGCAAATCTGTGTTTAAGGGAACACGT